GAGTTTGTCACGAAGAAAAGGACAAAGGAATGAAGTTTGAATCCAAAGGGAATGTGTCAGGTAGAAATAACATTTAGGGGCACCTGGGTGGCTCAGTCGTTAAGCGTCTGCCTTCGGCTCAGGTCATGATTCCAGGTCCTGGGATCGAGCCCCGCGTCGGGCTCCCTGCTCAGCAGGAAGCCTGCCTCTCCCTCTCCCACTCCCCCTGCTTGTGTCCCCTCTCTCGCTGTGTCTCTCTCTGTCAAATAAATAAAATCTTAAATAAAAAAAAGAAAAAAAGAAATAACATTTAAACAGCGCTTACTGCTTGCCACAGAATGTTTTAAGATGCACTCATTGACTCTTCCCTATTTTACAGGTGAGAAAACCAAGGTACAGAGAGGTTAAGTGACTTGCCTATGGTCACACAGCAGGAAAGAGGCAGAGAAGGGATTCCAACCCAGCTCAGCCCATCACCAGAGCCCCTATTATTGTTTATTTAAATTGGGGTGAAATTGATAACATAAAATTAACTGTGTTAAAGCGAACAATTCAGGGGCGCCTGGGTGGCTCAGTCAGTTAAAGGGTTGCCTTCAGCTCGGGTCATGATCCCAGAGTCCTGGGATTGAGCCCCGCATCAGGCTCTCTGCTCAGCAGGGAGCCTGCTTCTCCCCCTCCCTCTGCCTGCCGCTCTGCCTGCTTGTGCTCTCTCTCTCTCTCTCTGTCAAATAAATACATAAAACCTTAAAAAAAAAAGCCAACAATTCAGTCTCATACAGTATATTCACAATGTTGTACAACCACCACCTCTGTCCAAAACATTGTAACATGTATCAGAACTTCATTCCTTTTCATGACCGACTTGTTTTCCGTTGTATGGGTCTACCTCATTTTGTTTATCCATTCATCTGTTGCTGGGAATTTGGGTCATTTCTGCTTTTTGGCTGTTGTGAAGAGTGTTGCTATGAACACATGTGTGCATGTAACATCGAAGTGGTTAATTCTATGTATAGGAATTTTACCCCAATATTTTAGTTTATTTAGATTTTATTTATTTGAGAGAGAGATAGCATGCAAGCAGGGGGAGAAGCAGAGGGAGTGGGACAAGCAGACTCCTTGCTGAGCAGGAGCCCAAAGTGGGGCTCTATCTCACAACCCTGAGATCATGACCTGAGCCTAAACCAAGAGTCAGACACTTAACTGATTGACCCACCCAGGCGCCCTTACCCCATTATTTTTATTTTTTTTAAAGATTTTATTTATTTATTTGAGAGAGAGAATGATCAAGAGAGGAGAGAGCACAAGCTGGAGGAGGGAGGAGCAGGGAGAGAAGGAGGAGCAGACTCCCTGCTGAGCAAGAAGCCTGGTGCAGGGCTTGATCTCAGGACCCCGGGATCACAATCTGAGCTGAAGGCAGACACTTACTGCTTACTGCTTGCCACAGAATGTTTTAAGATGCACTCATTGACTCTTCCCTATTTTACAGGTGAGAAAACCAAGGTACAGAGAGGTTAAGTGACTTGCCTATGGTCACACAGCAGGAAAGAGGCAGAGAAGGGATTCCAACTCAGCTCAGCCCATCACCAGAGCCCCTATTGTTGTTTATTTAAATTGGGGTGAAATTGATAACATAAAATTAACTGTGTTAAAGCGAACAATTCACTGGACCAACTGAGCCACCCAGGCGCCCCTACCCCCAATATTTAAAAAAGAAAAATGCTATCAACTGAGAGGACCTAGAAGCAATGACATACCTGCCCATCCCCCATCCCCAGTAGTGATGAGCAGAGTCAGCACCCCAATCTTGACTTCTCAGCACCATTCTCCATTAAAGGGAATCTCATATTCTCTTTGGGAAAGTGGCTGATTCTAGGACTGGGACAGGGAAAACACAGGACAAGCCCCAAATTTCTCGTTGTGCCAGACAATAGACGTACTAAAAAACAAAAACAAAAAATATGGAGTCATGTCAAAAGGACAGTGCGTGAAATGAAATGCTTAGAGCAGGAACCAATTGAAAGAGTTCCCAATGGCCACAGCTGGAACAATTCGGGCAACAAAATAAATAACAACAGTATTGGATTATAACCCAAAGAATAAAATAACTGTTTATGAGTCCATATTGGTATAAATAAATGATTGAATAAACAAATAACTGGAGACAGAAACAGCTCTTCCTTCCAGAATTCCAAATCATAAATAATGGTAAATGTAGAAGGAAGGGGGTAATGGAAAATTACTAATAAACAAACACCACGGGAATAATTTCTATACACACGATCCACCCAGAATGCTAAAATCAGTGGTTAGACTTTAAATGGAAACAGAATCGGGGCGCCTGGATGCCTCTTGATTTCGACTCAGGTCATGATCTTAGGGTCTAGGGTTGTGGGATCCTGCTGTGTCGGGCTCCCTGTGGGGAACCTGCTTGAGATTCTCTCTCCTTCCCTCTACCTCTGTGCCCCCTCCCCCGCCCTGTGCGTGTGCACACACTCTCTCTCTCTCTCTCTAAAAAAATAAGTAACTCTTAAAAAAAAAATAAAGGGAAACAGGATCCTCTCATAACCTTAAAATATTTCATCCAAAGCATTTCTCAATTACTATACTTTTTTTTTAAGATTTTATTTATTTATTTGACAGAGAGAGACACAGCGAGAGGGAACACAAGCAGGGGGAGTGGGAGAGGGAGAAGCAGCCTTCCCGCTGAGCAGGGAGCCCAATGCGGGGCTCGATCCCAGGACCCTGGGATCATGACCTGAGCCAAAGGCAGACGCTTAACGACTGAACCACCCGGGCGCCCCTCAATTACTATACTTTTAACACATGTCCACAAATTCTTCCAAATTCTCCCTTCCCAAAAGATGGAGACTAATTCCTCTGTCTTGGGGAGAGGCTGGAAATGTTGTTTTCTGGACCCGAGTAGTGGTTACAAAGTATGTTTCGTTTGTGAAAACTCTTCCAGGTGTCCCCTTATGATCGGTGCACTTTTCCTCATGTGTGTCCTACTTTGATCAAAAGTTCAAATTGTTAGAACGCAAAATGAAAACAGAAAGGAAAGGAGACAAAGAGCCATCTGTCTCAGAGACGCACATGTGAGTGTTAGAATTGTGCCGGAAAGCAAAGCAGTGATGACTGAAGGCAGGATGGCGGCCACCTCTGGGGGGCAGGGCGGGGTTCTGAGCAGAGAGGATACGCAGTGGGGGGTGTCTGTGCTGTTGGCACCACCTATTTCCTGACCTGAGCGATGCTGTCCTGGATGTCCTGTTTCTGATTCTTAAAGTTTTACCTTCTACGGGGGGAAAATCGGAGGGGGAGATGAACCATGAGAGACGACGGACTCTGAAAAACAAACTGAGGGTTCTAGAGGGGAGGGTGGTGGGAGGTTGGGTTAGCCTGGGGATGTGTATTAAAGAGGGCACGTTCTGCATGGAGCACTGGGTGTTATACGCAAACAATGAACCATGGAACACTACAACCAAAACTAATGGTGTCATGTATGGTGATTAACATAACATAATAATTAAAAAAAATAGAAAAAAAATTTTACCTTCTGGTGGTGTCCTGGAGCTAGCTGACACAGACTTGTGAGAACTGATGGTTAACTTTGCAGGACTTTGGCGACCACACTGACATCACATTGGTAGCTTGAAATTGGCCAGAAACAAACAACTGCTACAAATCAGGGCCTTTTTTTTTTTCCTGGAGTGCTCGCTTCGGCAGCACATATACTAAAATTTTTTTTTCCTGGAGAACCCATTTGTAAACGTTTCCCAGCACATCACAGCTTCTCTATGTATATTAATTAAATATCTTTAAATTATTATTTTTACATATTTTATATATTTTATATTAATATTAATATTTTAATTTATTTTTAATTTATGTGTAAAAACACACATAACATTTTGCCATCTTAACCATTTTTTTTAAGATTTTATTTATTTATTTATTTGAGAGAGAGAGAGAGAGCACATGAGAGGGGGGAGGGTCAGAAGGAGAAGTAGACTCCAGGCTGAGCAGGGAGCCCGATGCGGGACTCGATCCAGGGACTCCAGGATCATGACCTGAGCCGAAGGCAGTCGCTTAACCAACTGAGCCACCCAGGTGCCCCATCTTAACCATTTTTAAGTGCCTGGTGACATCAAGCACAGTCACCATCCATCTCCAGAACTCTTTTCATCTTGCAAAATTGAAACTCTGTCTCCATAATAGTTTTTTTTGATCCTTAAAATTTTCGCTTGGAGGGCATGGATTCTGGAGCCAGATGGCTCTGTTGGAATCTCCATCTCCACCCCACCCCCTTACTAGCTGAGCGTGGGCACCGTCTGTCACCACTCTGTGCCTCGGTTTCCTTGTCTGTAATATGGGGATAATCTTAGTCCTAATCTCACAGTCCAGGGGCTCTCAAAAGTGTGGTTTCTGGACCACTGCAGCATCAGCAAAGCCTGGAAATTTGTTGCAAATGCAGCTTCTCAGATGCTCTGTAAATAGGGCCCTATTTTAAAATAGGGTTTTAACAAGCCCTCCAGGAGATTCTGAGGCTTGCTCAAATTTGAGAACCATTATCATAGGTTATTGGGAGGATTAAGTAGATGTAAAATACTTAGAGAGGTGCCTGACCTCACAGCCCAGCCCATACTGTGGAAATGCTCATTATCATTGTTGATATTATTCATGGAAGAGGTCCTATGGGGGGGGCGGTATCTGGCTGTGTCCTCTCTTCCCATCTGGTGGGGTCTGGGTTCCTGGTCTCTGCTGAACTGAGACCTTCTCGCCCTTTCTGTTGAAGATGACAGTGAGCTGGACCACGTCACCCCATCCATGGTTAAAGGTTATCACTTGGTCCTGGAAATGGGAAAGGTCGGGGTCGGGGGCCATGCCTGTATCCCCTCTGCTGAAGGAGATAAAGGAGGTCACTTGCCTTCTCTATGACAAGTGGGGGGAGCCAGGATGTATAAATGAGGGGGCCAGGAGGCAGCAGAGTCACAGACACCCAGGGAAGTTGCCTCGCTGTGCCCCAGAGTCCCGGGTGTTGCTGTCCAGCATGGCCAAGCGCCCGCTGCTGTTGCTGCTGACCATGTGGGTGCTGGCTGGGGAGCTATGGCTGAGGGCTGAGGCCCGGGCATCGCCCTACGGAGTGAAGCTTTGCGGCCGGGAATTCATCCGGGCAGTCATCTTCACCTGCGGGGGCTCCCGGTGGAGACGGTCGGACATCCTGGCTCCTGAAGCTACGGGTGAGGCTGGGGAGGTAGCGTGTGGGGGGAGGGGGTGGACAGTGGATGGGACATGGGATGGTCCAAAGAGCCAGGGACGGGGCAGAAGAGTCCTTGTCCTACTATGTGCAACTGGAGGAACTTGCCCAGGCCTCAAAGTTGGGCGGAGCTGGGACGAGCCAGTTAGCAGAGCCGGGATAGGGGTGGCAAGCCATCTGCACCCTCTAGTCATCCGAGAACTAGCTACTATTTCTGGAGCACCTGCCGAGTGTGAGCCTGCCTTAAGCAAAGCTGCTGCTTGCACAACTCCTAGGATGGGGGGTGGGGTGGGAGGTGGGACGCCATTTAGAAACTGACACTGAAGTGCTTTTCAACCTCCGAGGAAGGTAGTGTGGGGTACACAAGGCCAGATTTTGCCACCTAGCAGGTGACCTTCCTAACAAGTTGGTTACCCTCTCCGAGCCCCTTTATCTGAAAATAGGAGGCCCGGTCCCTGAATCTCCCAGGATGGTTAAGTGGCAACACTGAGTCAAAAACAGATTAGGACACCGTCTAAACTGGGCAGGGTGTGCCGTCGGGGCTCAAGCAGGGGGCATGGGGCCTAGTTTCATGAGGGGCAGGAGCCTGGCCAAAAAAAAAAAAAAATGGGGGGGTTTGTGATGATGATGGTATGAATATGGACTGGAAAGACACACTGCCTGGGTTCAAGTAGCAGCCCTACAACTTCATAGCTGAGTTTTCTTTCTTTCTTTCTTTTCTTTTTTTTAAGATTTTATTTATTTGACAGAGAAAGACACAGCGAGAGAGGGAACACAAGCAGGGGGAGTGGGAGAGGGAGAAGCAGGCCTCCCGTGGAGCAGGACCCTGGGATCATGACCTGAGCCGAAGGCAGACGCTCAACCGACTGAGCCACCCAAGCACCCCCATAGCTGAGTTTTCTTGCACAAGTTAGTCTACCAAATCGTGCCTCGGTGTTCTCGTCTGGAAATTGGAGATGATAACAGCTGCACTCACTTCATGGGGTTGTCATTGCGAGGAATAAAGGAGTTAATCCACTAAATCCTTTAAAACGGTGTCTGGCACATAGTAAGTGCTCAATAAATGATCAGTGCTATTTTGAATGCTTCTCGTGTGCCAGACACTGTTCTAAGCCTTTCTTTGGGTATTAATTATCTCATTTACTCCATATAAAACTCTAGAAGAAAGGAGTTATTAGTACCCCCACTTTGCAGAGAAGGAAACCAAGAGTCAGAGAAGTAAATTCATATGCTCAGGATTATAACTCAGAGAGGCTGGATTGGTGCTTAGTTCAGCTCCCAAACATATGTTCTTTTTTTTTTTTAAGAGCTCCATTTTATTTTTTTATTTTTATTTAGATGTATTTATTGATTTGAGAGAGAGAAATAGCATGAGTGGGGGGGAAGGGGCAGAGGGAGAGGGAGAGGGAGAGACAGAATCCTCAAGCAGACTCCCCACTTCACTGAGTGCAGAGCCTTACGTGAAGCTCGATCCATGACCCTGAGATCATGACCTGAGCCGAAATCAAGAGTCGGAGGCTTAACTGATGGAGCCACCCAGGTGCCCCCCAAACACATGCTCTTAACCATCAGGTTCTCAATAAAGAGTAGGAGAAAAGAAATGACAAGAGAGAAAAGGCAAGCTCAGTGAGGTTGAATAATTTGCCCGCCAAAGCTGGAACCTGGGCCTGAATGGAGTAAAACCTTTGACCATGAGGCTGCATCACAAGAATCGAAGTAGCTGGGCCAGCCAGACTCTGGGTGTGACAGAAACTGAGCCCCAAGCCCTAACTCTTTTCATCTTTCCCCTTCCCAGATGCAGACTCGGACCCAGACAGTGAGCTGGATGAGTCAGTAGCCTCCAGCGAGTGGTTGGCCCTGACCAAGTACCCCTGGGCTTTCTATGGGAGCCGACCCGGCTGGCAGGGGACTCCGGGGGCTCTGCGTGGTGGCCGTGATGTCGTGGCGGGCCTCTCCAGCAACTGCTGCAAGTGGGGGTGCAGTAAGAGTGAAATCAGCAGCCTCTGCTAGACCAGTGACCGGGGGGCCAGGGGCCCAGGGGCCCAGGGTCCAGCTGGGCACCTGTCTCTGGCCTCTCATGCATTCATTCATCGGCTAATCAGGTCAGGCGCTGTGCACTTAGACACAGTCCCCCCTAAATGACCCTGACCTTTGAGCAGCCTATCCTCACCTGGCCAAATGGAAACCTCTGGTCCTGACCCCTGACCTCTTCCCAGCCTGGCCTAGGCTCTCTGCTGCAGTGGTGCCCCTACTCTACCCAAACTGATCTACCCTCATCCAGACCTTAGCCCTAACTGATTCTCTCTTGCCCCAACTGTGGCCTCTGTCTCCCGACCAGCCCAAATTATGCTCCTGCTCCATTCCAGCCCTCGCCCACTTCTTTCTCCCTGCCTTCCAGCCCCTCCCCCTCCAGCCCCACCTGCCGGGGTTCTAAAGCTGGGGACCCTAGAACTGGTGGTGGGAGCCCTGGGTTCCCTTCATGTCCTGGGGTGGGAGGCTCGGTGACGGGACGGATCAGACGCTTCTTCAACCCCAGTAATAAAAGTTCCAAAGGACTTCGCGGCGTGTGAGTGTGTCATGGCGGGGGTGGGGGGTGCTGGGTGTCGCACCGGCTTCAGGGGTGCTCGGCGGCGGCCGCCGCCGCAAGCCCCAGGCCGTCCCCCCTCCCCTTCCGCCGCCCCAGCCGGCGCCGCCGGGGACTTTCCGCCGCGGGGAAGGGGCGGGGTCCCGGAGCGCCAGGTGCGGAGGCGGCTGGGAGGGGAGGGGCGCTTCCCGTCGCCGCTCGGCGCCGGGGCCGCACAGCCAGGCGAGCGGCGGGGCCGCGCTCGGCCGGGCAGGGCCTGGCGGGACTCGGGGCGCGGTGCGGCGCCATGCGGGGGCCCCGGGCCGCCCCCTTCCGGCCGCGGCCGAAGCTGGTGCTGCTGCCTCTGCTGTTGCTGCTGGGCCACCGGACGCGGTCCCAGGGTGAGTTGTGGAGCGAGCCCGTGGCGGGCGCTCGGCCGCCGCGCTCGCCGCCAGAGCGCCGGGCCTCCGCGTGCACCGCAGGTTTGCGGAAAGAACGCCCCAGGTGCAGACGCCACCCTGCACCTCCCCGGGCAGGGACCGAGCGGAGAGAGGAGTTGGCGCACGGGGGGGGGGGGGGGTCGGCCGCGAGGTGGGAGCCCGAGGCCCCCGGGTGGTAACAGGATGTGGCTGGCAGAGGGAGGGGAGGAGTTATGCCCGAAGCCTGGGAAGGGGTGTCCAGCGCCCCCTTCCTGCTGCTCCTCCCCGGAAGGGACCCCCGGATCGCCCTCCACAATTGGCAGAAGTCGGGGGGAAGTTCAGGTTCTGCATGTGCCGGATGGGGGAATTGAGCCCCTTCCCTGGGACATCCTCCCCACCCCACCCCACCCCACCCTCCCCTCCCCTCCCTCTCCTCCCTCTCCAGACAGCCCTGGGCCACTGCAGTGCTATGGAGTTGGACCCTTGGGCGACCTGAACTGCTCGTGGGAAGCTCTTGGGGACCTGGGAGCTCCCTCCACGCTGAACCTCCAGAGCCAGAAGTAGTGAGTACAACCGGCTGACTTGGGGAAACTGAGGCTTTAGAGGGGTGGCCACTCAGGTCCCAGCATAACTCAGGTTGAGAGGACCCCAATACTTCTGCTCCGCAGCCCTACCCCTCTCCAGCCCTTCGATTCCAGGTTTCAGCATTTCCTTGTTGTGTGAGCTTAGACCAGTCACCTTCCCTCCCTGTTCCTCTCTTTCCTCCTCTGTCAAAAGGTGATAATAAAGAAACTGCCTCCCAGCGTTAGTTGTGAGGATTCAATGATTTAGGCATTGGCAAAGAGAAATTGCTTAATAATTAGAAGCTGTTTTTTATTGCTGTGTGGCCTTAGGCAGGTAGCCTAACTTCTCTGAGAGTATAAAAAGATACTTTGGTCTGGTGCCAGGGATGCAGCAAGGAAAGCGGTAGACAGAAAGCCTGGCCCTCGTGGAGCCCACAGTCAAGGGGGAGACCTGGGTTCCTTCGTGATGAATCACACCTGCAAACTCAAATTCATTTCAAATTTGGCTAAGTGAGGGAGGAGTAAAGGCATTGAAAGGTGGGAACCATGGTGGGGTGGGTGGGTATTTTTTTTTTTAAGATTTATTTATTTATTTGAGAGAGAAATAGTGGGCGAGCACACAGAAGGAGAGAGAGAAGCAGGCTCCCGCTGAGCAGGGAGCCCGACGACGTGGGGCTCAATCCCAGGACCCTGGGATCATGATCTGAGCCGAAGGCAGACACTTAACTGACTGAGCCACCCAGGCGTCACTTGTTTTTTTTTTAGTGATGGTAAAATACTCATAAAATTTACTATTTTTTTCTCAACCATTTTTAAGTGCACAGTTCAGTGACATTAAATGCATTCACATTGTTGTGCAATCATCACTGCCATTCCTTTCCAGAGAAGCCTGGTTTTAAATGATGTAAGACAGAGGAGTCAGAGAAGGTCCCCCCTTGTTTTAATGGATAAATTCACATCACATAAAGCTAACCCACTTTTTAAATATATTTTATTTACTGATTTGACAGAGAGAGACACAGCGAGAGAGGGAACACAAGCAGGGGGAGTGGGAGAGGGAGAAGGCGGCTTCCTGCCCAGCAGGGAGCCCGATGTGGGGCTCAATCCCAGGACCCTGGGATCATGACCTGAGCTAAAGACAGACGCGCAACAACTGAGCCACCCAGGCGCCCCAAAGCTAACCCATTTTTAAATGAACAATTCATGGGGTGCCTGGGTGGCTTCCACTCAGTGGAACCACTGAAGTTCCACTCAGGTCATGATCCTAGCATCCTGGGATTGAGCTCCATGTCAGGCTCCCTGCTCAGCGGGGAGTCTACTTCTCCCTCTCCCTCTACTCCTCCCCCTGCTCGTGCTTTCTTCCTCTCTGTCAGATAAATAAATAAAATCTTAAAAAAAAAAAGAGAACAATTCAGTGGCATTTGGTACATTCGCAGTGTTGTGCAACCACCTCCTCTGTCTAGTTCCAGAACATTCTCATCACCCCAAAAGGAAGTTCCATCCCCATGAGCAGTCACTCCCCATTGTCCTCCCCCCAACCCCCCACCAGCCCCTGGCAACCACCATCCTGCTTTCTATCTATGGATTTGCCTGTTCTGAACATTTCATATAAATGGAATCATAAGAAATATGGCCTTTTGTGTGTGGCTTCTTTCACTTAGCATACTTTTGAGGTCCATCCACATGGTAGTAGGAGTCGGAACAACCTTCCTTTTTATGGCTGAGTGATATTCCACTGTATGGATCCACCACACTTGGTGTAGCCATTCATCTGTTGGTGGACATGTGGTTTGCTTTCACCCTTTGGTGAATGTGACCCGCACTGTTATGAACATACATGGACAAGTTCTTGAGTTCCTGTTTTCAATGCTTTGGGGTCTGTGCCTAGGAGTGGAATTGCTGGGTCCTATAGCAATTCTGTGTTTAACTTTTTGAGGAACTGCCAAACTGTTTTCTGCAGCAGCTGTGACATTTTCAGTTCCCACCAGCAGTGTACAAGGGCTGCAATTTCTCCACATCTTCACCAACACCTGCATTTTTGTTGTTGCTGTTGTTTTATGAAGGCCTTATTCTGAACCTCTGAAATCTAATCCTTCAGGATATCCTCAACGCCCGGCTCGCTGTCACCCACATCTGGTCTTGTCAGCAAGCCTTGCCAGCTCCACTTTCTACATTATCCAGAATCTGACACTCTCTACTTCCTGGGCACCCACCCTGGTCCAACCCCCCCATCCATCATGGCTAACCTGGGCGGTGCAGTCAGTAACCTCCTCCCTCCCGGCCCCTGGCTTGCACCTTTAAGCCCACAGTCCGTTCTCCGCCACAGCCGCCAGGGGGCGCCTGTGAACATCTGCATCAGGCACATCTCAGCTTTGCTCCCCGTCCTCCAGGGGTCCCACCTCACTCAGAGTAAAAGCCCAAGTCTTTCCTGTGGCCCGCCAGGCCCTGCACACTCTGCCTGTCACCTCCCTGCCCTCACCTCCTCCCACTGCCCCCCTCACTTGTTCCACTCCTGTCCTGCAGGCCTCCTCCTTGCTGTTTCTCAAACACACCAGTGAGTGTACCTCAGGGCCTTTGCACCTGCCGCAGCTGCCTCTTCCTAAAATGCTTTGCCCCAGGTACTGCACGGCTCCATCCTCCTGTCCTTCAGGCCTTTGTTCAAAAGTCTCCTCATTTGGGAGATCTCTCCTGACCACCTGCCTAAAATAGCACTGTCATTCCTCACCACATCATCACATTGCATCCTCTTCACCCTGAAGACTATTCTTTATCATCAGTCATATACATAATTGTCTCGCTGGCTGGGTAGTTGCATAAGTGTAAATGTGCGGACATATAAGTAGGTGCCAATAAATATAATAAGCAATGCTCACATAACATGTATTGGGCATCCAGTGCTGTTCTAAACACATTCCATTTATTAGCTCATTGATTCCCCTCACTCTCCGGCTCTTCAGCAGGTACTTCTATCACCCTCGTTTTGTAGCTGTAGACACAGGCACAGAGAAGTCAAGTCACTTGTTCAAGGTCACACAGCTCTGAAGCAGCAGAGCTGGGATTTGAACCCAGGCAGAAGAGTTATCGTTATGACTTTGGACCCAATCCCAAATACACCACACACACCCCCGATCCCCACCTCTCTTCTCCACAGCCATTCCAACAGAACGTGGACTGTGGCAGTGCCCACCGGACAGAGCTGGGTGACCGTCCCCCGGGAGCAGCTTACCATGTCCGATGAACTGCTTGTGTGGGGTACCAAGGCAGGCCAGCCTCTCTGGCCCCCAGTCTTCGTGAACCTGGAAACCCGAAGTAACAGGCGGGATGGGGGGGTGTGCTTTGTGTGGAGTGGGTGGTCCCGGAGGCCCTGACTTAATGCATCTGGCCTCCCCTTCCTCAGTGAAGCCAGATGCCCCCCGGCTGTACCCTGACGTGGACTTTTCAGAGGATGAGCCCCTGGAGGCCACTGTCCATTGGGCCCCACCTGTGTGGCCACCCCATAAGGTCTTGGTCTGCCAGTTCTACTATCAAAGATGCCAGGGGACAGCCTGGACCCTGGTGAGTGTCAGGGGCCCCTTATTCCCCACCCTATTCCAGACAGGGCCCAGGGCATCATCCCTAAATCAGAGACCCAGCCCAGAGCCGGTTCCTTACTTGTCCTTATAGTCTGTTCAGATTTCCCACAAAAGACCTGTACATGCATCTTGTTCAGCTAAAAAATCACCCCCCCACCAAATAATCTAAAATTCCATGCAGTCCCAATCCCGAATTCCACTTGGAATTTTTGAGAAACTCAGTAAACTTCCTCTAACATTTTTGTGAATGAATAGAAGGCCTCCGATAGCTTACATTAACCTTAAAATAAGAATAACAGAAGACATTTAGAGAGCATCTACTGTGTGCCAGACACTATTCTAGGCCCCTTATTGAACCCTTACAAGAACTCTTTGAAGTAGGTGCATTTTATACCTACCCATGTTACAGATGAGGAGCAAGGCTTGGTTT